GTAAAAGTCCGGTCGGGGGGTGGTGAAGTAAAATAATACATTTGAAAAATAATGCTGTGTGTTGTTTATTTTGAATGGCAATATCGGCTAGTCTTCCAAATTGAGTATTCAATTGTGACTCGAAGTCACATTTAGAGAAACGCTGCCAACAGCGGTGGATTACATTTAATCAATATTTCAGTTCAACTCGAAATTTCAGCTCAACTCAAATTTGTAGTTTGAATCAGATTTTAGGTGCCACGTCAGTTATTAGTTAGATACGCGTTTTCGTGGTGAGACCCATCATACGGTAAAGGGGCGGAGACTTGCCATTTCTGCTCTGTTTCAGTCATTCGTGCCATTTGTCTTGCTGGGAGGAGGTCGTTTCTTTTTTTTGCTCCTCCACGCTATTCTCTTCACACCTCATTCTTTTTCGTTTCGTGTACTCTCATTTTAGTTTGACTAAAACTGATTTCAGTTCAAGTAAAATTTTAGTTGCACCAAAATCTTAATCCCGATATTCAATCTGACTTCAAGTCAGATTGAACCCCCCCCCCCCCCTTTACGCTGCTGAAATTTGCCTTCAAGTCAGATAACTTGAACCTGCGTAATTTGTTTTTTCCAGGCATTATGGAGATGGTATTTCTCTTTAACCCACTTACTGAAAAGGCTAACAACCTTGATCCCGATATTCAATCAGACTTCAAGTCAGATTGAACCCCCCCCCCTTTATGCTGCTGAAATTTGCCTTCAAGTCAGATAATTTGCATGATTTTTAGTATAATGATCCCACTGAAAGTCTGATTAAATCCATTTTCAATATCCTCAAATCTACCTTCAAGCCAGATCATGCTTGTGGTCGTATTTTTCATGAATGAAATGTTTCCAGATATGAGTGCAACAACTCCAATGAGAAGAAAAAGAGCAACAAACTTACGACAAGGAGAAGACGATGATTCCGGTGAACTGGTGAGAAAGAGAAATGCTCGAATGGCCGTGTTCTCTGCACTGGTTGACTGTACGCCATCCACATCCACCAACAACAACAACAACAACAGAAATTACCACGAAGAAGACGAAGAAGACGATGAATCGCGAACGACACTATTGAAATCGATGAGCCTCAAAAGCCTTCTGAAGCTGAAGTGTGAGACAATCAACAAGTTTCTGAATTTTTTTGACGCAACACATCAAGCGCGAAGCAATTCGAAGGATCCCAAATATCCTATTGACTTGTTACCTGTAAGAATTTTATATGACTTGAAGTCAGATTACACATTTGCAATAAAGCAAATCAATATTAAACTTCAGGACCGCTTGGAATTCCATGTCATGTTCAGAGGTGCAATGAGTGGTGAAAACTGTCCCTTTATGCAAGCCATCAGAATTTCGAGTGTTTCGGACGAGACCTTGAGGAAGGCGGCTTCTGCAACCGTTCACTTTTTTTCGTTCATGACATTACGTCGTAACAAAGTCAAGGAAAGACCATCGGTTCCTCAGTGCGATTATGAGATGGAGAGGGTGAAGAGAATGACGACGGTTGAAAAAGCGAATCTTGTCGGTGAATTTTTTTGTTGGTTTGAGCGAGTGCCACCCGTACGAGTTTCATCTAGCAAAGTGGTTGCCACAAATGGTGTTGAAGGTGAGTATCAATAGTTCTGACATGAAGTAGAATTAATACATTTTCAGCCCGCGTGCAGGTTAAAGAGACCAACACGCTTATGACGACCATTCGAGGTTTGTTAGCGTTTTGGACTTATGTGGGAGTCATTGAGCCAAGCAGTGACCGATCGCCAACCGAAGAATCAAGATCTATTTGGAGGGTTGTCAGGTAGTATTTGTAGCTTCAAGCTTTTTGTTTAAATTCTGATGATGATCTCAGAAGCGTTGTAAAGGTGACGGAAAAAATGAAAGGCGGTCGTTTGGATATATCGAAAAGCTCACTCAGTTTTTCGGACACGATTCGACTAATGAAAAAAAATGTTATAGTTGAGTACATACATTCCAAACTAACTTCAATTCGCTCTTTCGCACTGTCAGCTCGATTTCTTCCCCAGATTCGGCCAGTTCACCGTAGTCGCAAAAATATTGTTCTGCGCGTGTCGTGCCAACTAAGCACGATAGCATGGCGCTGTCGCGCCTCCATTAAAACTTTTAAATACATTTCCATCATATCATTTAAACAAAACGCAATCGTATTTAGTGGTCACGGGGCTTGAGGCTATTTTTAAAAAAATTGAAATTTTGAAAAGAGGTGAATCTTGAAAAAATTTGGAAACTAGAAGAAGCTCATTTTCTTTGAAAAAAAACTTGCATGTCGTAAAAGTCGGAAAAGCTCGACGAAGGAAGGGGCCGGATTTAGGATGTGGAGTGTTTTTTCAAAAAGGCGAGCGAAGCGAGCCTGAAAGAATTTCATAACTTTCATTTCGGCAGAATTTTCGAGCGAAGCGAGAATTAAAGAATTTCATAACTTTCATTACGCCGGCTATTTAGGACTAACCATACCATCCTAAATCAGTACTTTCGGTTCGTCAATGGACGAACCGAAGAATGAGAAAAGAATTTAATTTCGTTCATTCGTCAAAGTAAAATTGAAAAAATGGCGCACTATGAGAGTCATGAAATAGGTTGTATCCAAGAGAAAACAAAGGAGCAAACATCGTATCAAATGCTCGATAACTGATCTTATCAGTATCCGAAACCAAATTGAGACTTAAAGTTAGAAGAGGCTTAAAGTTGGGAGAAGCCTACATTTAGGAGAAGCTAAAATTTAGGAGAAGCTTAAATTTAGGAGAAGCTTAAATTTAGGAGAAGCTTAAATTTAGGAGAAGCTTAAAGTTAGGAGAAACGTGCAAAAATCCTAAAAATACTTAAAAACACTTAATTTACACTCAGGGACCCCTACAGTACTCGAAAAAATGAAAAAAAAATTAGTGCCACAGGCGGGTTTGAACTCGGGTTCCTCGGACCGAAGGCGAAATTTTGGACACACTTCCCAACATCCCCTATCCATGATGCAAAAGTTAAAACATGTTTATCTCTTTCCGCAACCGAGTTATTACACGTCAAATAGTGGTGCGCGCTCTCTGTGGCCGCCACAGAGATCGCTACGCACTGGAGGGCCTCAGTACATTTTCTTAAAACGACCGTAACTTGCTTCAAAATGGTCGTAAAGGGTCGGTAAAAAAACGAATCGATGCGTCTCGACGAGCTCTACAAAATGGCTTTTTAGCATAAAATTTATCTGTTAAACCGCGTTCGCTAGGTCCAACTTTAGAAAACGCAAAAATCGTTTTTTCGCCATAACTTTTTTTCCATCAAGACATGACCCCATTTTGACCGGGGGAATCGAATTCTTTTTGAATTCTGCGTCGACCAGTCCAGGAACGGTAAAAAAATATGCATTTTGGTGCACGGGGTCCAAAAAAAGTTGGTCCCATTTCGGGCGCCATAACTCGGTTCGGGTGCATTTTCGTAAAGGGGTCCAAGAGACAAAGTTGTAGAGGAATACATTTCCAACATTTTTTTAGTTGACACCAAAATTCCATCACGCACCGGCACCGTGCCGCGCGCGTTTGAAAAATAGAATTCAGTCGTGCGCAAAAACTGGTCGTACAATCTTTCCAAAAATTTTGGTGCTTAAAGACTTTTTTAAGGCACATACGTGGTAAAAATTTCAAGAAAATCGTATAGATAGCCGAGGCACCAGCCCTGTTTGAAAATTTAAAACCGAAAAATCGATATCTGAAAATCGATTTTTTCAAAATTTTTTTTTCTCAATAGATGCCCCCTGGGGGTCTCCTTATATGGTTTAAATTTGATCCGAATCGATTCACGCACTCCAGAGTTATGGCCGATAATTAATTTTGAAATTTCAACTTTGAGCTACTGTAGCTCCGCCCCCTTTTGACTTTTGGCCAAAAAAAAAATATACTATTTTTTTTTTTTGATGTACAATATTTTAGGCAAGTTTGGGCCAAATCGGAGCTAACGTCCTCCGTGCCTCATCCTAAATGGCGCAGGCAAAGCCTGCGCCTGAGCCTAAGCCTAAGCAGCAACCCTAGAGATAAAAATTAACATTCTTTGAATGTTTCGAATGTTTGAATTTTTTGAATGTTCACCGAACTAACCTAAAAACTAACGTACGATAAACAAGAATACGAATGAAAATAACATCAGTTAGAGAAGAAAATTTTGTAACTAAACAAAACAAAAATTAGAATTCCCTTAAGGAAAATTGACTACAAAAATGTTGGAAGTATTAGAAATCGACATTAGTACTGGGAATTTAAAATTGTTGCTCCCCTTCTGATTACAGTTAACTTTTCATATTTAAACTGGTAATTTCGGGGAAAGGTCGATCTTAAGAACTTTTGTTGGGAAACCAACGAAAGATAGAGGAACCGGAAAAAAATCTATTGAAAGTTCCGAAAATCATTTTAAAAACTTGTATTGTTTATGATTTCTTTGTTCAACCTTCCGTAGATCAAAAATAATACTAGACTTTTTTCTAATTAAATTTTCGGTAGATCAAAAATGTATTAGCAAGACCAGAGATCATAAGTTAAAGTTGTTCAGAGATCGAATAATTATTTTCCAAGGTTAGTATAACTAACGTCTTCGGTAGATCAAAAAGTGTGTCAGCAAGTGTAGAGATGATAAATCTAATTTTTTTTAACTTGAAGAATAATTTTCTGAAATCTTGTAAGCTTAATCTTTGAACTAAATTAATGAAATCATAGTTAACTTTTTTCAACAAATGCTCATTTTTCGTTTATTTTCACCTTCGAAGAAGTTTCAACAAGATGTTCGTTATACTAACCTTGGAAAATAATTATGCAATCTCTGAATAACTTGAACTTATGATCTCTGGTCTTGCTAATACATTTTTGATCTACAGAAGAAATTCTGGAAGAAAATAAACGAATCGATAAAAACGAGACTTTCAGGTTTTAGAAACGAGATTTGAAAAATCTGGAAAAGTTATGGAAAAAACTGTCGCAAAAAAGAGAAACTTTTCATACTAAAACCGGTAATTTCGGGGAAAGGTTGATCTCGACTTCTAACAAGAATTTTTGTTGGGAAACCAACGAAAAATAGAGAAACCGGAAAAATAATCTATAAAAGTTCGTTGAAGACTATTAAAAAATTATTTCAGTACAGAAAATCATTAAAAAACTTAAATCTTTTTTATGATTTGATTGTTTAATGTTTCGTAGATCAAAAATACTAGACTGTTTTCTAGTTAAATTTTCGGAAGATCAAAAATGCATTAGCAAGACAAGAGATTGTTAAGTTCCAATAATTATTTACCAAAGTTCAGTAAAACGCTTAGTAACTAGTCAAGCTGAATCAATTTATAATGACCTACTGTTTTGAAAAAATCCCTATTTCAAAAGGTGTTATTTTTAGATTCAAATTTTTGGTCAAAGTGTGTAGAAAACAGATAGTAAAATGTATGTAGCAATTTCTAATGAATTTAGGTTTGGAAGTTCTGGATAAAATGGCATTGGATGAATGCGAATGTTTTTTTCTGGATAAAATTTGTTTTCTTGTGAATACTAGAAAAATCTCATCAAAATCGGTTAGCCTTTATTTGAATTCAAATTTCTCTCATTCCGATTTGACTACCGACTGATAGTACGTTATTCACCATCAGGTAACATATGAAGAGATGAAGGGGTAGTAAACACCGAGCTTTGGAATGAATCAGACGAGATAAAGAGTAAAATAAATAAGGGTAATGACCGTCGCAGAAAACCCTTCTCAGCATCTTTACTGCACTACATGGTAATGGCATAATAGCGGTTATTGATTAGTGAGACCCACTAAACCGATCTCATCTCTTGGGAAAGAAACTGTATCTGTCGGTGTTCATACAAAAAAGGAGACTTCGTTGCATCTATTCAGCTTTAAAAAATATTCATGTTACAAAATACGTTTTGGTCCTGTTTTGGGCAAAGTGCGTAGAATACAGAAAACGGGGAAAATTTGTGCAAAAACTGAGAAAAAACCGACGTGGGGTCGTTTTGAAAAAAAAAGAAGTACCAAGATTCGAATACCAATTGAAGTAATCGTCGTAGATTTCATCTCAATAATCAATTTTCGTTTCCGCTGACGCCAACAATTGTTTATCTGGAGTCCTTTTCAAATCCACACACTTCCTGTCTATGATATGTTATATTCCTTTCTTCTTGTGCTGGTCGATGGATCATTATGGAATTTTAATGCTATGTAAACGATGTCGTAATCACTAAACACTCGAGTTTCCATGAAGTTTTAGATTCAGCCTCATTTTCAATGATTCTGAATTATATCGTGCTTGGTTGTTTTTATCTGTCGCTTATAAATTACTCATTGGTATTCGATCTCAAGAAACTGATTTATTATTGTCAGCAATTCTTTATTGTCAGAGCTTCAAACAATAAGCTGCTCTCCTATATTTGTCAATGCAAGTGCTCCGTATTTTCAGTAGCGCCAATCAATGTTCCAGAAAGACTGCAAGAAATAAGAAGGAAGATTGCGGCAATGACAGCGATCCAATAAGAGTATCCCAAGTAGACATTCGCAAGAAGCTCGTATGACGTGGATTGGAGATACACTGAAATTGTTCTGTATGTACCAGTCGGTTTACGCCCTTTCGGGGCTAAAGCTCCTGGCCCCGCTTACAATACCCGTAATCTAATAAAGAGAGTCCGTCACTTTTACAGGGGCTATTTTTTAGGGCCTATGCTCTCAAATTCGAAAATTAGGAAATTTTGAGCTTAAAAAATGATTTTTTGGAAACTCAGGATCTCGGTAGTTTCGGAATTTAACATCTCGGATATGAGGAGATTTGAATTTTTGAGAATTCGAAAAAAGTCAGTTAATGAAATGTGTTTTTAATGCATATAAGCTTAGACATTGTGATGAAGGATATAAGTCTAACAAAACTTCTGTAACTCTCAAATTCGCAAATTTAAAAGTTCTAAAATTCTGAAATTCAGAAATTCTACAAATCTGAAACTTCTGAAATCTCAAAACCAATTTTGCAAATTTTTGGCAAATTCATGAATATAGTCTATAAAGCCATTCATAATTAAGATCGGAAATTTTTTAGCTCTTAAAATTTGAAATCCAGAAAATCCTTTCACTTCAAAACAGCGACTAAAAATTTTTGGAACAAAATTTCGAAAAAAAAAATCTAAAAATCGAATTCAGAATGAGTTCAGAATTGAAAAAGTTCAAAAACTCAAAATTTCAGAGAAACTTAGGACTTAGGAAGTTTTTAAATTTTTCAAAACAAGTTCAGAGGTTCAGAAATTCAGCAGTTCACAAATTTGAAAATTCAGGTATTCATGATTCAGAAATTCTGATTTTTCGAATTTCCTAATTTCTGAGTTTCTGAAGTTCTGAAATTCTGAAATTCTGATTTTTTTAAGATTCGGAAGTTTTGATTTTTGATTTTTCGAATTTCCGAATTACCAAATTAGGACTGATATTCAAGAATTTAATCTCAGAAATTTTAGTTTTTTGAGACTCTTGATTTCTGAATTTATGGGTTTCTGATTTTTTTTTGAGATTCTGCCTTTCTGATCTTCAGAGTTTCCGATTTTTGCGAATTTCTGCATTTCTGCATTCAGAAATTTCTGATTTGCGGTTATTTTTAAAAATTTAAAATTTTTAATTTTTCGATCCGAAAATTCACACATTTTAATCTTTCGGAATTTGGAAATTTATAGTTCTAAAAATCCAGGTTTCTATAGTTTCAGCATTTAAAAAATTTGGAAAATTTGGGAATTCAAAACCTTCGAAATTCGAAAGATTTTAATTTCTTAAAACTTGAAGCCTACGAAGTTCAAAGACTACATTGAACGCGTTCTTATTGATCTTTGAGGGAGCTTGTATTTTTCTCTGATTTCTTATCATAATTTTTAGATACTTTTAAATCTTCAGAACCCAGACTGAATGTCTCTTCGCACAAAATCATCTTTTTGTTTGATATAACGTGGATAGGAAAAAATAGGTGGATGGGCGAGAATGGCGTGAAAATAATTTCTAAAGATTTGCACTGTAGAAGTAAAAGATCATATCCAGAATACGTCAAAAATTGAATATCGAAAATTTAAAATAGACGGGCATCATCTCGCTGCTATTTCGGGTCATCTGTGAAAATTTGGGAAATTTTGATCCAGTGGTGAGTTCGCTACGGTCTCAGAACCGGGAACACCGGACACACACACAGAATTTGGTGATTGTTAATAGTAAAGATATGTTTATAGAAACATCAGGAATACTTACTGACTTTATACTGCATCCGTACTCCATACACAACTATAGCCACAAACAAGCTAAGAAACGCTAGTCCAGTTACACTGAATGCTGGCATTCCGAGTCTTGCCCTAGGAGAGAATAATCCGACAAAACACCCCAATGACACAATCTCCAGAATAATTGCGATGATCATAAATGCAAGTGTTGTTTTCTCGAAAAAGCAATGATCAGGAAAAATCCATAACCGCAGTGAGATTTTCGAACCATGTCTGAATATTTAAAGTGAATACCAAATTATCCTTTAAATAGTAAGGCAGAACATTTCGATTAAAGGTGGGGGGAAATGAAGAAAATAATGTTCTCGAAATTCCGTTCAAAGATGCCCCTCGAGGAGTTGAACTTGTGAAGGCGATGATTGAGGGTGTGGCGCCGCTACCGACTGAGCCACGCGGGCAAAGAGAAAACGGACGCCCGATTGCATACATAAAGGCGAGGACGATAGCTGTACGCAGAGTGACATTAAGCGTTGTACACCGTGACGGTAGAATGCATACTCTAGCTACAAAAAAACTACGAAAAATCTCCTGTCCCCCCACCTTTAACCAGTAGCACTAAAACAAAAAGAACAAGAACGCCATGCCTATGTAGAATCCTCTTCTGGAGGATATATAAGCCAAAAATGAAAACTCTCGGAAATGAAACACTAAACCCTGTCTCCTTTTCGTTTGACATGCGGTTACTACTGGCAATGGAATATCATCTTTTCTTCTTTTCATTTATTATTTTCAGTGCTCAATGAGCTCTTCTTTTGTCTTCTTCAGTTGTCCTGGGTAACGCTTCGGATGTTTCACGAGAGTATCTGAAGTCGAAGAAAATGAGAGGTAGAACATTTTAAAGAATTTTTTTACGAAGCTTTATAATTGCAATAAACAGTGGAACCCGTTTTGAAAGTGTGAATGGAACCGGTAGAGATGAGGCAAACAGGAATACAATTTAAAAAACATTTAAAATGGAAATGTTATACACCAACCGGGGCTGGACACTTTTTCTTAATCTCACGAGCCAGACGACGACGTTCTCCATGGTTTCTAAGCCAAGATTCGACCCTGATCAACATGTGACCAAATGTTTGACGATAACGAGAACTCATAACACAGTAGAGAAGAAAGTCCACACTGAAATTATCGTGTTGCAATAGTTTTAATGTTTCTCTTACCTGCAATTTATCAGTGATAGAAAATCCAACAACTCTGACAAGTTCTTGTAAATGTAAATATTCACATCACCGGTATATAATCCATTTAGTAGAGCCAAAAACCCTTGTGGTAATTCTGTGACCAAGAAAACAACCAACATGATGATAAGCATATACGTAGTTCGATCAGGTACTGTGGTTTTTTTCACATGTTTTCGAAAGCTCTTCGAATACAAATAGTTTCTTTTTTCGTCAGTTTGACGGAGTTTCAAAACCAGCGCCAGTGTGAACCACAGGAGAAGGGCACAAGGAATAGCCTAAAAACGTATGCGATTTCTAAGTTTCAGTGTCCAAACAGTGCCTGGTTTTACCTTCAAAACTACGGCTAGCATCCATAAATTGAATTTGAAAAAGGCGCATGAATACGTTGAAAAATTTAAACTGTATCGAACTTCTTTTGGTAAACTTTGCCCACTCAACCGAAGAACTTCGGAAACTGTAGATGTTTCGACTTCTGTTCAAAAATTCAATTGTATTAATGGTGTTATCTATGCTCACCAGGGCTATCGATTTCATAAATTTTGTGAAGAACCAAAGTTGGAAGACAAACAATAGACATGGCTACACTCACCACTCCGAATACTTGCCTACAATTTAAATATAGAGTGAAATCGGAGCATCTTATCACACCAAGAGTTCTTCGGTTGTAACCATTTACTATGTATATTTCCTAGAGCCTGCCATCTGATGAAAGCCAGTACTCCTCCCATGTACAATGTGATTGCATGCAGAGTCATGGATGACCACACATGAAACTTTAGAAAAACCAGCCAAATGTAGCTGTAGCCATGGTCGGTCTGAAAACAAATTTTGTGCCGAATATAATCGTTAAACTAGGCACCTCATAAAATCTAAACCTCATCAAGTATATACTGTATGAGGTCATTGTTATGACGTCACAGAATGCGACAGCAGTTAAAACACTGTTGACGGCACAACGGCGCATTCGGGGACGAGATAGGACCTGGAATAATCGGAAATCGGAGAATAAGTTTTTTTCATGTGTTACCGCAATATGAATTGCATTACTAAAGACTCCTATAATGCAAATGAATAGACACGCATATCTATGAAAGTATGTATAAAAGCTTTGAAACTGTTCCAGTGCATCAATGAGTCCTGAAACTGCAGGGTCTTGTGGGTCGAACAATGTTCCTCCTTCATCTTGACACATAACACCTGGAAATTGTAAGTTTAATGTATGATAAATTCATATAAATTGCAGTGTCAATATTTGAAACAATAAAACTACACATATGTATGATAGGGGATTTTTTTGAACATCTTATTTTTCGCTGCAGCACATAACATCAAAAAACTCTTAGCAAGTTCAGCAGACTCACGCCTCGTTTACATAAGTTTCAAAATGGACCATATTATTGTCACAAACAGAATAATTTTTTGTTGATTTTCAGAGGATGATTGTCTAAAAAATTTGGAAAAGAAATCTACAGAATGTTAACTAAGTACATATCCGTCAGCGAAACTTTTTCCAGAATAACACTTTTCTACTCGAAAAGGGAAGAAAAAAGAGCGAGAAAGCAAAAATATGTAAATTCAAATAGGCGGTTTCGTTTAGAAAAGAGTTTACTGAGAAAGAGATTAGTTCCGGAGTTATAGAAGAAGTAGTTGCCTCAGGTTATAAATGTACTCGAGAATAGGAGAGATTCAAGATTCGAGAGGACTTCAAATGTCAGAAAAATGAGTTCCTCAAAATAAATAGTGATCAAACATCTTCTTAATTCAAATGCGGAAGCGAATTGAGTTTGTCAAAATTATTTTCCAGAAAAAAATAACTTTTCATGTAATATAATTCATAGCAAGCTTTGATATTGTTGTTAATGCACATGTTGAAAGAAAAAGCATCCGAACTACCTAGCATCATTTTCTTACGAGACTTCCTTATGAATCAACCAATTTGTCGACTATTCATTCGACTTTCTACGATATTTGTCACGTTCCCGAAAATTTATCATGATGCATGTTCTGAAGTTTTTGTACATGCTTCACTATGAGCATACACCTTGGGAGAATAATTTCTCCGAATACATGTAATAAATTGAAAAAATTAAGAAGTTGTATTTATTCATAATTTTGGTCAGAACCTTTCTTTATTTTATTGTGGTTTAGAAGTTTAAAAAATTGAATGTTCGAATCTTACTGTGACATGGTCTAATCCGCCTAGGGGACTTCTTTTGGGATTTATAATCTGAATTTGTGCGGGGGGAAATAGAAATGAGATTAGAACATATCATTCAGTACAAAGATTAAAGAACTTCACAATTTCAATATCAGATTTTTAGGGAAAAAAATGTCAGCTTGAACTTTCAAGTAGATCTACGTCAGAAAAGTCCTCCAAAAGTTCCGAAAAAAGTTCTCTGATCGTTCAAATGTATCATATTTCCTGGGTGTATCCTAAATCTACACTTTCATTCAGAAACACTCGAATAAGAAATTGCAACAAAGAAATTGTTTGGGTTTTGGAGATTTAGCATAGATAACTACCGTAAATTTTCAATACATAGCTGGGAGAACGTTCTATTAAAGGGTGGCATTCAATTAGAGGCTTTCGGAGTGTGGGAAAAAAAGAAAAGTGGGTAATAAAAGAGAACGATCATGCTACTTGTGTACTGTACAATGTCTCAACCTTCATTGAAAAGCAACAAATTGATAATCTGGTGCATGGTAAATTATGCGTTCTATTTTTCGGAGCACAAATCGGAGGACGTTCTATTAGAGGGTGGCGTTCAATTAGGAGGGACTATGTATTAGAGTGTTTACGGAATTTTGAATAAAGAAGAATTTATTAAAGAGAAGTGTCAACTTCGAGCATAAATTTAGCGGACCTTCTCTAAATATATTTGAGCACGGGATAAGAGAAAGAAATGAGAGAAAATGACTAATTAAATTTCTCGTCTTATCTCAGAAAATTACTGCGCAAGTGAATAAGTACATTATCTAGACAGATGGAAAATAGACCAAAAAAATGTTAACCCTTAGGCTGGAAACTATTGGTGTTGAAGTATTTGAACGAAATTATACATTGTATAAGACACTATTAGATGAATTTCAAAGAGAAAGGGGAAGCTCAAAACTGAGGTAAAGCCTTTTACAGACAGATATTTTAGATGAAAGAGTCATTGGAAAGTTAGTCATAGGTTGAGCTAATTTGTAAGACAAAGTAGGGTAATTTCGCAAAAACCAGGCGTATTCAAGGAAGTTCAATTGGTCTGTGAGAGAAACGCGGTTTTAGAAAATAGTATGGTTCGGAAAGGAAACGTGAAAGTATCACCTAGAAATGTTCCTCTTATTTCAAACAATCTTGAAAGTGGGTACCCTTACATATAGTTTGCTAAGAAACTCAAAAAACAGAAATAAATATAGCGGAGGGCATACCAGATAGAAAAAAAAACTTGAGGCAAATTTTTTAGAGGGAGGAAATGCTTGTTTCTCAGCTCGGAATATCCGATTAGAATTATGAATCGAAAAAAAAATAGTTTGCAACCGGGAAAATAATATTGTGGAAGGAACAGGGGGTTGATGCAATAATTCTCAACTGTCTTTCATTTTTCCAAACCTTCCCATTGTTTTAAATCATGACTCAAAATTTTCAAAGAAGTTTTATGCACTGTTTTTCTTCACTTCCTTCTCCTCATCAGCTTTTGGAGATCTTGTTTTCCTCTATTTTCAGCTAATTTTCTTCTTTAAAAACTAATAGCTCCCGATTAAGTCTCATTAGTGTTCACAAAAACAATCAGCGACCAACGGGACAAATCACGAAAGCCTTTTTTTGGAAATGGAGGGTAAAAACTGAAAAGAAATAATTGGAGCTCATAAAAATAGGCAAGTGGACACTTGACAAAGACATGTAATAGCTTTTTCCTCGAATACTTTCTTCACATGCGTGACAGGTATATGAGGGACACAGTAGGTTTATTTCGGAAAATAACTCGTGTTGGGAAAGTTCAAAACATAAAAGCAAACAAAAAACAAAAAAATTAATACATGTATATTTTTATTCCACTACTAAAAAAGGAAATCGACTATTTTTCCGGGTTCAAATAGTTCTTGAATGGTGCCCTCGGGGTATTTTTAAGAACCAGTCTCCAAAAGAAGACCTTTGGACCTAAAGAATAAAATGACGATGGGGAATGAAAAAGAAAACCTTTTGGGAAAGAAAAAGAAGTGGTTTGGTACCGTCCCATGGGGACACCTTCCATCTACCGAAAAAAAAAAGAAGACGGGGGAAGAAAAAAGTTTTCTTTTCAATAAATAAAAAAGATTGGGATGCGGGAAAAAGAAGGATGAGAAGACAGCAGAAAAGTTTATTTTTTGTTTCAGAATCCTTTCGGGAGAAGAGTTCAAAAACCTTTTTTTGCTCAGAAATGCCTGGTATATTTGAGGTAGTCTCATACCGTTTGGAAGAGTTAGGGGAATCAAGCCTCGAGGAGTAAGAAAAAAATCATTGAAAGTCTTAATTCAATAGTTGATATGCATTCATAGACTCACCATTATCTTCTCCCATTCCATCAATTTTTGAAATAGATTGACAAATCTAAAAAAACCGTAAGTACCATGTAGGCTATAAACGATGTAAAAAACATGTGTCAAAAATAGAAGCATAAGACTACGAATTTCCGTTTTGCGGGGAAAAAGAAATTTCGATTGGATTAAAAGTGTACCAGCCCGTTTAACCAATTAGGCTTTGGAACAATAAAAAATCCGGAAAAAAGGATATAGAAAAATGGACCAAAAAGAAGAATCCAGTTGAATAGGAAAAAAAATATGGGGGTGAATACTAATTATTTTTTCTCGTTTTTTTCCGGTCAAAATAATGGAAAAAATATATAAGACATCAGTCTGGTCATTTGGAAACAGACACGTGGGTTCATTGAAAAGTAACCGGACATGGAAAATGTGATGTTGATTTAAACCATTCAAAAGTATCAGCTCTAATATTTTCTGGGTACGGGAGAATATGCAAGAATCAATAGCGCAACTCTTAAGTAATGCAAAAAGAATACAACTCTTCGTCTCTTAATTACCCACGAAGTAGCTAAATCACTAAAACAACTGAAAAGTTTTGCCGCCCTTCCTTATTTTAAAAAGAAAATGTGTTGCAAATCAGAAGATGTAAAAACAAATTGAAATTCGAGTGTGTTGAAAAAAATGAGGTCTAGAAGAAACCAAAAATATTCATAGTGACTAAACGCTTTTCCTATAAATTTTTAATCGTTTTGCTCAATGAGCTTAGATTTTCAAACATTTTACGAATTGCTTCGTATCTGAAAGAAGATTTTTGGTTTTTTTTTTCAAGTAGTAGTCTGACTGGTTTTCAAGTATCAGAGAAGTGTGACTCAATCTGAAAGTGACATCTCGAGAAAAATCAAAAACAGGAAAAAAATATAACGGTATATTTCAAAATTCGGTGTTAGAAAATGAAGTTTCCCAGAAAAACTGAAAGAAAAATTTATCTGGTCCTTTCTCATACGATTCTTGCGGTTTCCCCATAAAAATAATGTGGCTGAATCTCAATAAAACGAAAAGTAAAGGTTCAAAGTAACGATTTCTGACGCTTTCTCTATTTCTCTATTTCAGTCGAAAGAGATTTGTGGAACCAACAGAAATCCGACATATGTTATCAGAAGATAAAAAATCAAATAGTGGATGGCTTGTCTCTATTAATTGGGTCGCCTCAGCATTCAACTTGACAGCTGACAAAGGGTTTCAGAAGAAGAAAGAGATGAAGGAGCAAATGGTAACAAGGGGACTTGAATATTGAACTGTTTTATAAAAGGGCGTCGTTATAGGATTTTAAAGAATATTCCAAACATAAAAATACATTGAAAAAAATCTTTTCATACTTCAATATATTCTCCTCTCCCACTCATCACATGAATACTCTTCTTCAAAGATCAGAAAACATGGAAGATTGAGCCAATTTTCATTTGAATTCTGCAATGTTCCCTTGTTACTCTTATATGATCTTTATACTTTCTCGTGGCTATAAACTACAAGAACAGGTGAAACTTTGAAAATTAGAAATATTTTTGCAAAGACTGAAAGAAAATTTACTGTGCCGGAATGTTTTTGCTTATACCTATAAAAACAAACGCATAAAAAAACACTCAGTTGAATGGATTTTATGGGCGGTTAAAATGAATAGTGGCGGTT